CCATGAGAAGTCTTTGGATGAAGTGCTTCCATCAAACCCAACAGTGCTTGAAGTAGGATATGGAGGCAAGGAACTTTGCCATTCCTTTAAAACAGTGTTGCAAGGACAAGTGCACAAGGATACGTCTGCTGAAGATGTGGAGGACGCTGTATGAGCTGTGAAATGGTAAATAGCATATACTACATAAGTGACATGAGATAAGATATTATCATTACTTAAGATGTATTGAATAAATCTAAGTTGGAACTCCAAAGAGGAGCCAAAGAGGGTCTACTACTATGTATTGGAGCCAATATTGCCAATTTTCTCAACGCCCCTTTAAAGGCCAAGACCTATAAAAACGTTGTGGGAGTTAACGGAAAAATACCGGCAGATTTTCAATCGTAGTCAATTAAACTCGAACTTATACAAATTATTCAAAAAATTCGAAATTTTGAGGAATTTCTTATAATTTCAGTTTAACTCGCAAAGTTGGATAATTTGTGCGGAAAATATATTTTCTTGACGATAAAACTTGCGACAAAACGTTGCTTGATAACATTGTAAAATTTAAAAACGATAAAAAGCTATAGAAAGCTAAAATCGACGACGTTTCGACGTTAACATAACGTCATTATCAAGTCAAGAGTGCATAAAAATAAGTTCTATAAATATTAAAAACGAACAATAAGAGAATTAATTTGCGGGTTAAACAAAACGTTTAGCACGTACTTTCTCTTATTGTTCGTTTTTAGTATTCATAGAACTTATTCTTATACATTCTTGACTTGATAATGACGTTATGTTAACGTCGAAACGTCGTCGATTTTAGCTTTCTATGGCTTTTTATCGTTTTTAAATTGTACAATGTTATCGAGCAACGTTTTGTAGCAACTTTTTATTGTCAAATGTTATTCCAAGTCACTTCTTCTAAATATATTCTCTGGAGCGTTTAAATTACATGCAAGCGCCTATTTGCCCGTGGGTCTGAGCTCTTTTCTCAGTAAAGTGTGTAAACGAGATATGAAAATTATTAAAGATTAAAATGTGAAGTTTTTTATCGCTAACCACTGAGGAATATATATAAATAGCGAGCCTTTCTCGTTGCCATGTTCCCACCAATCACGTAGCTCTATTTTCTGCCTTTAAAAGCACACACAACCCACAATTCCTCTATTCGCTCCAACGAAGGGCTAACGCTCGAAACGTCAGCTTTTATAATCGTAAAGGTGGCCAATTTACCATTTCAACTTTGTTGATACGGTGAAATTATTTCGTTACACCGACGCAGCCCCAGACAGTTTCTTTAGAAACTATCAGCCTTTATTCTTTCTTTACATGATCTACTTATGCGTTTCGTAAGTCCACGAAGCCTTTGTGCTGCAACGGCAGTAGCATAATGAAGAGCCGTAAATAAAAGTTAAAAGAGTTTGAGGGTGAAAAATGCGGGGACGAAGTACTTTCTTCCTCTGAGGAAAAATATAAGGTTGCAAAACTTTGCAAATCCTTCAAAGGCGGTTCGAGCGGGCAAGAACATAATGATGCGTCTTTTACTGGACCGGAAAATGCCGCTGAAAAATTTTTATATTGATAGATATTTTACTGAGCCGTTATGAAATATATCGACTAAAATTTGTAAAAAATGGCATGATATACTTTCTTTCTTAAAAGAGGAAACTTCGAGAGTCTCTCGGAGTTCTCTCACATCACTTGCCACGAGCGAACGCGAGTTAGCTAAGGTAAGCGAGAATGACTAAGAGTTACCGCGAGTGACCACGAGTTACCACGGGTGACGACGAGTGACCAAAAATGGCTACGCTTGGGCCTCGGGCTGAACTTCCTTTTCTTCGCTAAACAAGGGCAATTAACGAATGTTGCTCGTATATGTCACTCGTATGTAGCCGTAGGTACTCGTATGAATCTCTATGTAAATCGTATTTCATTCATCTTCTCCGTGTGGTGTTTCAGTCATGATCCAAAATAAATTGCGAAAGATCGAATATTTATCAATCATTGCAGAGGTAAACAACACCAAGGATGACTGCAGCTTTTGGGGAGGCATGAAAAGTTATACCAAACGATTATGCCTGCTGGTTAATATTCTTAGAAATGATCAAGACAGGATATTCAGAAATAATTTTCAGGGTACTTACCAATGGTTGTATCAGATTCATATTCCGCTTCAAATCCACGATCAACTGTTTGTCCAGGATGGAACGCTACAAACATTTTGTTTCCACTCGAGAACTGAGACTCATTCCAAAGCGACCCCTGACAATATCGCCCCAGCAAAGGAAAGCTTGTTGACCCACCATCATAAAGCTCCACATAAGAACAAGAATCCGAACAAGGTTTGGTTGAACACGCACTGAAGACAAAGTCAGTAAACACAAACTTAACTATTTTTCCAACTGGCACGGTAATGATCCATGTACAGTTTCTGGACGCAGTGTAGTTACTCTTTGGATAGTTTGTGCTGCTTATTTTCCCGCTTTCCCCTGAGAGAAGAATTGCTTCCTTTGGACAAACTGAAAAAAGGAAAAATATCCAAGTGAATGTGGGAGAGTAATAATGGATTGGTGTGGAAAGGAATTTCAAAAGGAAATAGAGTACAGTCAACATGTAGGTGAAAAAAACAAAACCATATCATAACTTTAGTGATCTGACTAGAACGTAGTTAGGGATCATTTATTATTTATGGCCTGTGATAGGAGGAGGAGGAGGAGGAAGACGTGGTTCTCAGGTGGAAAAGAGGGGGAATCAGTCGTCGTCCTCGGAGAATGGCGTACAAGCGTTCCAAGATCACGTCTCGACAAAAGGCTAAAGATTATTTCATGAAAGCGTCACACTTTGTGTGAGGTGGTGCTAAGTTACGCGAGGAAGTTTTGAGAATTTGAACGCGTTATAGAAAATAGTATGGGGAACGAAATATAGCATAACCAGAAATCTTATACAAGATGGCGGCCAAAATGACCGCCAGTATGCTCTTAGCGCGGAAATGCGGAGTAAATATGGCTTGGAAGTATAGAGAAAGTAATAGGGAAATAAAAATATTTTGCATTTTACGCCATTACTGCTAGTTCGAATCGTATTTCAATTGAAAGAAAAGTGAGAAAAAGCTGGTTTTAGACAGTGCGTTTTCATTCCAATAACCTCATATAACAGCCACACTTTCCTCTTTCACTTATCTTTGAAATAGGGCTTACTTTCATGGTTTCTTTAGTCTGCTATGAGGAAACGGTTACATCAATTCGGTTCCCCACCATCATATCCGAAGGATAAGAAGTTTAACCCGCAGAGCAAACTTTCTTTCGCTCCAAAAACATCCCTCAACACGGTGCCTTTTGAATTTGTAAAGTGGCATTTTCCAGAAATGCGCGATGCAAGGAAAGGAAGCCAATACCTGGGCAAAAATACTCCTTCCAGCGGTTTGTTTTCTTTTTACTTAGCCCGCCATTTTTTAAACACATTTTAATTACCATATATGAATTACCTAAAGATAAAAAAAGCCGCCAACAAAATAATTGGCCAAAAATCGAAAAGAAGCGGAAATTTAAGGGGAAACTATAGTAATATTAAATGCCATGTTTGATGTTCCCCCAGAACTTCTTTTCAACCTAGGAAATTTTTTTTTAGTGGAGACATCATTGAAAGGGAGGGCTTTTCCTTCTTTTTGATCTATTCTTCACGAAATCTGCAGAACTAAGAGCATTTGAGGTGTGGTAATAGCCCTTCGAATAATTTTTCCTTCGTCCGTCGGCCATATTAAATACTGAAATTTACGCGCGCGCCGTTCAGACCGCTGACCGTCTACTATTTCTGGTCCATTTGCAGCGTTAAATATTCCGAAGTAAGAACATTAGATTTCAACTGAGATTTTACGAAGTTATTTTCACTACTTACTTGGAGGACTGTAGTTCAACAGCTTGTAAGTTGCCTCAAAGCCTTTATAATCCATAAACATATTATCGGACACAAACACCACCTTCAAGCTTTCGTGTAGTGAATAGAACGTTAAATTCACACTCCTGGGTGTACTACACAATTTTCCAGCCGCGGAATCATCACTGAAGCTATTTTGAACTTCGAGAGAATCACACGAGCAAGCGTCACATGGTTGCAGATTGTACTCTGGCATTGTAAGCTCAACGTGGTTTCCTTGCTTTCCTATAATCTTCCAGCTACATGTCTGGTTGAATGGATAGTTTTTTGGATAAAAGGGAGAGGAGAAAGAACCTGTTGTATCGTTGAGGATCATATCTGTGGGGCACACTGAAAAGACAAACGAAGAGTGTGTCAGTCTCAGCCGAATACATCTTGCCTATTATTATAACTGAAGTTACTTAACTCCCATCGAAACATTGCGGGCAAATCTTCTTTCTCTTAGGAACTATTTTAATTTTGATTTTTTCCACCAAGGTTAAAGTCCACCGTTATCGACTGGATAATTAATTTTTACTACCACCTACAGCTAATTTTCGCATTTTGCAGCCTTTTATTTGAGTCAAAGTAACGTGCATGAAATAAAAGAGAGACATTGTACAAAAGCTTGCCTTGATAAGCTTCTTAATTCAAAAATCACTCACATAAATCTTCCATTTCTTTGGCCTAGGGCGTACCCAAGACCCGGGAGCATAGCTTTTTCTCGTCTGGTAAATAACATACGGTATATTTACCTTCTTAAATGAATTACCTTAAGAAAAAATCACTTACATAACTCACCATCTATCGCCTTATAAGATATATTGAACCCTTTGTTTACAGTTCCGTTGCGGGATTCAAACCTCACTTGAATGAAGTTTCCCTCGGAGTAAACAGGATGGGGAAGATTTTGACCACAAAGTTTCAAGTTATTAGGATCTCCTTCATGCGATGCAACATTTATGATAAAAACTCGGGCACTCGTCGTCGCCGCTTCAGTACAGTTTTGGTTTTCATTCATTACCAAGGTGAAGCTCAAGAAGGTCAGTTTTATGATTTTCCCACTAGGAACCGTGATATTCCAAATACAAATGTTGTTCGCATTAAAGTTGTCGGGGAAATTGGGGCTGGAAAGGTGGCCACTCGAACCATCAATGGATTCTCCAGGAAATGTGCAAGCTGAAAGAGAGAGAGCATCTATTTTTCAGTGTTTTGCTTTCCACCTGCAGACGAACTTGATAGAATTCCAAAAATATATAAATTAAAAAATGGAATTCATTCTAGCACATTAAATTGTTACCATTTCCTTAGTTAAAACGAGACTTAAACATAAAACAAAACGGTAGATTTTTTTAATGCAGATATCTGTGACGAATACTAATACTTACGATCATTTGTCACCCGATCGGTCTGGGAGGAAGCTGCAACAAATACAAAGAACGAACATGTGAAAACCTTACTTAACTGAAGGCGTATAGAAACCGTTCATCCCAAATCCTAACAAGTTCAAGGTCATCTGAGCAAAAGAGGAAAGCAGACAAGGCTCGTATTTAGCTTTATTGGAAGTTTTATACTACGATGGTATTCATCGGTGAGACCACAATGAATTCTCAGCCGAGTTTTTTTAACTATGAGTTTCTATTAAAAAGATTTTATTTTCTGGGCACTTGAACGCTATTTTCGTAGGCTAGTCAATGATAGTTTTGCGCGAGATGCACGTTCATTCCAAGATTTTGGCTCGGCTGAATTCCCGTATGGATGCAAGGCAAGGCCAGAAGTTTTAAATCTCATTCTAATTACGAAGTTTGTACTCGTCATTGTAATCCTAGTTTAGTTTAGACGCCTCTCATGTGGGCCAAAGAGCTGGGGTTACTGTGAAGTGAAGATAGACCCTTTTTACTTTCGAGGTATTATCAAGATCTTAATTTGTGAATATGTGAATATGTGAATATAGTTTATATCTGACCACTTGCAGCCCAGAGGCTGAATACGGGTGCAGTGTAAGGTTGAGAACAGACGTCAGCATATCAGGCGCCTCTGGCAGCTGCTTCAGTCTATCGATCTCACCTTCCCACCCATCCCACCCCCTGGAAGGACATTTATCACACAGTAATCTCGTGTGTGGGAAATTAACGTCTCCTACCCCAACCCTGCAGGAGACGGGACCTCCATTTATTCGTCCCTATCCGAGAAGACTAGAATATCTAACCATTTTTTGAAGTTAGAGAAAGGTAGCAAATTCTTCTCAATTACTTTAAGACCTTGAGTGTTGGTCCGGCCGGGGCTCGAACCCTCGACCTCCCGCACAACAGTCCAGCGCTCTATCCATTGAGCTAACCGGGAGGCGGTTAATTTGTGAAAAGCCCTCTGCTCCCTAAAAGTCCCTTCTCTAGCTCTTGCTGATTTAAATGTTGATCGAAACAGTTAACTCTACTACTGTCATTTATCTCCTCTGTAGCAGGTCACGATTCGTGACAACAGAACAATTTCTTGTGTGTAAACAACAAATAAAAAAAAAATTAAAAATTTCCAGCCAACGAACTGATACGCACAGTATTCAGTGGAGCTGAGCAACAGTCAGAACATGATTAATGAGTTGCTGTTGGCTCTGTTCTCAACCCCTCGTCTCTTCTCCCCTTCCCAGCGAAATCCGCACACCCAGAGGTAATTTCACCTTTTAAAATGGTGGTTGTGCCATTCTCGAAATGTCGTCAACTTTGGCGATAACTCTCGATGTTTCGTTCTCAGATATAGAGTTAAAGTCGCCTAAAGTCGCCTTAAGTACGTAATGTTATAAGGGTTCCACCCTTCCCAATTTACCCCATTCACGGGCACCCCACTCTAATCATGACTTTTGAGTTTATTGCAAGGGATTCTGTAAATATTTTTAAGGCCTTTATGGAGAGACTGTTGCTAACTTTGATTTTAGCACATCAGTCAAATAAGATCGCTTTAAGTCGCCTTAAATCGCCTTAAATCGCCTTAAATCGCCTAAAGTTGCAATGCTTTTTCTGCCAGTTTTGCTTGAGTCGCCTTAAATCGCCTAAAGTCGCAATCACGTTTTTTCTCCCAAATTTGCTTAAGTGGCCTTAAATCGGCGCCCAAAGTCGCTCAAAGTTACAGCGACTTAAGGCCCCAGAGTAGGCCTTTTTGAGTCTTAGAGTCTGCTATTAAATACTAAAAAACGTCTGGGATTTGTTCTTATAGTGGAGGGTCTCCTTGGAAAGTTAGCTAGAGTACTTCGCAGTTACATGTATCGTTGAGAGAGCTAAAAGTCTGTGCATGCCGAATCCTTTGAAAATACTGCTATAGAAAAGCTGATGTGGCAAACAACAAACGCAAAACAGAGAATTTAGACTCTACCGCAACACTTCTTCGTCATTGAAAAATAGATCAAAACAACCTAACAATAGCGACTGAAATGTTTAGTCACCGTCTCGAACTTTAACCAAATCAGTTTTAACAAGAGCCTTTACCCTTGATGGTGTCCTGCATCAAAAAGTAAAACTAGGATACATAAAAAGTCACTTGTACGTGAAATTTGCTTCATAAATTACGATTCTTAGAAAATGTGTAGTGAGATAAAAACATTGACTGTGGCAATGTTCATATATTTTACCATCGACTGTCTTAACAGCCGATGATATTAAAATATCAATTCGTCAGAAAAAATTATTGATCGAATTGACGCTTACCCTCCCAAAGTATCCTCATGCTTAGATTTACGCTGAAAGTGAAAGAATGGAAAGTAGTTTGTTTGTGATCAGAGCGTTCCGGAAAAAATCGAATATTACAAGACAGGCATCATTGCGTTTCATCTTGTTTTAGAATTCGATTAGCAAAGACTTCTATAGATAAAAAAGCGGAAGTCATTTAACTTAAGAACTCCTCTAAATGTCTTCGAACTAGTTTTATTTTTACATGTCGATGTGTGCAAAATAGGCATTTTTCTATTCAAGTATTGAATCTAATTTGTATTGACTAAACGAATTCAATCGCTTTTATTTTATCACAGGACGTGTGCTTATTGTTCTCCACTTTTAAGTGCTGCTACTGCTTTATGCTGGGAAATTTCGGTCAGTTTAATTTAGCCAAGCATTTCTATAAAAGTGGTAAAGTTTAATTATCATTGAATTGCAAGTTTTGACAGGTCATAGAAGATTAATCATGTCCAATCCTTATTTCACCCGACCGTATGGGCATCACAAACAAATGTTACTGCCGGCTAGGGTGGTCTAGGAGACACAGGTAATTTGAATAATTATACGTGACACATCATTACCCATGTATAAACTTAAAAGCTGCGTTAAATAAACACGAAGTATTTGGATAGCCGCATCTGTTTTGCTCTACATAATTTCCGGTTATTGATTCAAATAGAAATTTTAAGGAACGCAACATTTGGGCCTTTTTCAATGAAAAGATCAGCGATTCCTGCTGCTATTGAAAAACGCTGATAAAAATCCAATTCCTGTTTAAAGTAAATCCCGATAACAGACTTATAGCAAATGATAGTTCCCAGACATCTGATGAACAACTGAATAAATGCTTCATTTAATATTATTTATGAACTCTGCGGTCTATAGACACTGGCATTAGTAGGTGAAACCTTTACCTCGCTAACGAACATAATGACTTTATCATGCGACGTAACCCTATTGACCGTTTATTTTGAACAGTCAACATAGCATACAGGAAAAAAAGGTGTAGAACGTTCTATTCGCTTGACTCGACGATTCAAAGTTCAAACACATAGTTAGGATATCTTTTAAAAGATATTGAATGAGGCATGGCTCGAAACTATACAAAATAAACATGGTAGATGCTATAAATCCCTTCCTGCAACTTAAAAATATTCCTCGATAAAAGGTTCTAAATCTAGAGTGACAGAAACTTATTGGCTTCCATTAATGAGACTTGGCTGCCATGTTTCTTGTTTCTGAGATGCTCCTTATTTCAAACTCGTTTTGGGGATTACTCTTCAGATTTGAAAGCCTTTTAAAGCCGAACCTTGGTGGGCGACAAGATATTAAGCAGGACTGCCTAAAAAATTATGAACAACGCGTAGACGCATCAACATATTCTTTCCGCCTTCTGTTTGCAGCATTTGTAGATTGACGGCGTCCTCAAGCGCAACGGTCATCTTAAAACTTTCTTCGATAAATCTTTGCTGGGAGAAGATAATGCCAAGATGCTTTTGTAAATCACGAAGAGAAGAAGTACCTTTTTACTTACCTTTGGAGATAATAAGGATCACAATTAACAGGAACCAAAAAACCCACATAATCCTCCTACCCGACATCGTTGAGTTGCATTTTGTAATTAATGATATTGAGTTATCACTCATGCGTATAACTTATGCCTTTAGGCGGCACCATGGCTACGGTAAATTGAATTTCAGTAGCGACGCACTTCTGCTTTCCAAGAAAACGACGGTCGGACTCTTTTATATATTTTATCTGTACCACCTGCCTTCACGCGCACCATGGTTACCACAGTTACGGTAAATTGGTCTTCCATTAATGATGCGCTTCTGCTTTCCAAGAAAACGACCTGTGACATTCACTCTTATGCGCTTGATGATAAATCGATCTGATCTTAAACAAGTCAGTGTGATACTTATCCATTGTTACTTTGGTGACTTTTGCGAAATGGCATTTAAGGCCAGTCCAACCATAAGAGATCTTCTGTAATTTCTGTAAGTTGATAATGTGAATTGGCCACCGCAAAGGTTTAAAAGCAGACGTTTCTAGCGTTAGCCCTTCTATAGAGTGGATTGAACAAGGGGCTAACGCTCGAAAAGTCAGCTTTTAAACTTTTACGGTGGCCAATTTACATTATCGACTTAGTTGATAAAACCAAATTACTTCGTCACCCTCACCGTCGCAGCACCACACTTCTTTAGAGACTCACGCCCTTTCTTCATAAAAGATCTTCGTTTGATTTGTATTTTGCTACCAACAGCTCAAGTCTAAAACATTAAATAAGCGGTCGAAGGCATCTCTGTGTAGATAGGGGATTTAGAAAGGAAGCTTAAAAGTTCTCTGCTGTTTTTAATTGCTGCGTTTATTTTTAATTGTAATGAAATGGGAAATTACTTTCGAGAGCTTGTTAGTTGACTTGTAGTTGAGAATTGTTTTCAGTCTACATGGTTCGATTAATCTGAATGGCGTAAAAGCTGGTCATTTAGTTTCAGAGTTCTATCTAGAAGGGGGCACAGCCTTTTTTGCAAACTTCCATATGTAGCTGAGGTTCCTTTCCTCTCGTGTCAATTGCAAAGCATGCGAATTGAAGAAATAAACGCGCCATTTTGGAATAAGCTAATCCAAAGTTTTTCACTTAAAATATCTCCCAACTGTTAGCACAAATCTTAACATAGGCGCAAAATTCTAATTCATTCTTCGAATAAATTAAAATCTTGATATCATTCTATTTTTTGCTGATACAATTAAGGGCAAGCTCAGTACGTTGCGCACAGTTTATTTATCGAAAGAAAGCATGTAAATTTCATTCCTACAGAAATCATTTCTACCATTTACTTCGATGGACTAATTCTTCATTATATATTGTTATTGTTTAAATCAAGTTCTTACTCGGTCTCGTTGAATACTTTTTAATGTTCACAGCTAAATCACTCCCTATGACTGCAATGTCTTCTCAGTAACTGTCGCACCTTTCTATTCTGTTGAATATATACGCGCGATCAGATTTCTGAGGAAATACAATTACGTCATCGCTAACATCATCTCTGATATAAAACGTAACATTAATCAATTGTCACGCGCTTATGACTGTCATATTCTTATATATTTCTAACAGGCTCTGTTATCAACCTCTCGTCTCTTTTCCCCGTCTCAATGAAATCCGCACACTCAGGCGCAATTTCACCTTTTAAAATAGTGGCTATACCACTCTCGAAATCTCGACAACTTTGGCGACAAGTCTCAATGTCTCGCTTTCAGTGCGTTTCCTTTTGAAGTCCTTTTTCTTTTTGAGTCTCAATCTCCCACATTTACCAAAGTCTGGGTCTCCTTCGAAAGGTAGGTGGAGTACTTCAGAGTTATACATATTATGTATCGTTGAAAGCGGCAAAAGTCTGTGCATGATCGTTTGAAAGCTGATATGGCAAATACCAAACGAAAAACAGAGAATTCAGACTCTACCGCAACACTTCTTCGTTATTGAAAAATAAATCACGACAATCTAAGAATGGCGACTGAAATGTTTAGTCACCGTCTCGAACTTTACCAAAATCAGTTTTAACAAGAGCCTTTACCCTTGATGGCCTCCTGCGTCATAAAGTAAAACTAGGATGCATAAAAAGTCACTTGTAGACGAAATTTGCTTCATAAATCGCCATTCTTAGGAAAGGTGTAGTGAGATAGAAACATTGACTGTTATTAAGTGACAATGTTCATATTTTACCATTGACTGTATTAACAGTCGAAAATATTGAAATATCAACTTTCTCATATTCGTCAGAATAACTTATTGATCGAATTGACGTTTACTCTCCCAAAGTATCTTCATACTTAGATTTACGCTGAAAGCAAAGGAATGCAAAGTAGGTTGTTTGTTCCGGGAAAAATCGAATACTACAAGACAGGCATCGTGGCGTTTCATCTTGTTTTACAAGTCGATTAGATAAGACTTTAAAGATGAAAAATACAAGTTATTTAACTTAAGAACTTCTCTAATTGCCTTCGAACTAGTTTTATTTGCATTACTTTTCGATGTGTGCAAAATAGCTATTTTTCCTATTTAAGTATTGAATTATTTTAATCACAGTTTTCGCGTGACACCGATAAACACTAATTTGTAATGACTAAACGAGATCAATTTAACTATAAAGAATTGCGATAAAATCGAAAAGTTTCAAAAAATTAAAAACCATCTTGGTTTAAGAAAATGCGACAACGAGTGAAATGAGAACGAATATAAATTGCAAAAGAATTCCTAAGAGACATGGCTAAAAAAAATTGAAATATGTACATAACAAAGAATTCACACAAAGAGTCACATATTTGCACGCAGAGTCACATAAACAGTTTGGCGCGAAGAGAGTCTTTCTGAGTATTTAACTCGGGGTTCAGTTCCTTAATCATAAATAACATCTCAGAAATTAGACAATCAAACTTTGATCTACAACTCTTCAGAACAGAAAATTGCTTATCAACCATGTCGAGGAAAATGTTAGCTTCGTTTGGGTCAGGCATGATGGCCAAGATGTCATCCAATTTTGTTATCCGTGTCTCTTAGGAATTCTGTTACATTTATATTCGTTCTCATTCTTATTGATCATGACTTGGCCATGACTTGATAATGACGTTAAGCGCACGTCGAAACGTCGTCGCATTTTTCTTAAACTAGGATGGTTTTTCATTTTTTAAGAGTTTCGATTTTATCGCAATTCTTTATAGTTAAATTGTTTAACAAATTTCTTCTCCTGAACGAATTCAACCGCTTTTGTTTTTTTTACAGCACGTGTACTTTATGTTCTCCCCTTTTAAGTGCCGCTACTGCTTCATGCTAGGAAATTTCGGTCGGTTTAATTTAGCCAAGTTTAAATATCATTTGATTGCACGTTTGACAGGTCACAGAAGATTAACCATGTCCAATCCTTATATCACCTGACCGTATGAGCATCACAAATAATAGTGACTGCCAGTTAGGGCGGTCTAGAAGACACATTTACAGGTGACACATCATTACCTATATGTAAACTTGAAAACTGCATTAAATAAATTGGATATATCAACAAAGTTGAAATGGTAAATTGGCCACCGTAATGATTACAAAAGCTGACGTTTCGAGCGTTAGCCCTTCATCATTCGCTCCGACGAAGGGCTAACGCTCGAAACGTCAGCTTTTCTAATCTTAACGGTGGCCAATTTACCATTTCAACTTTGTTGATATATCCAAATTATTTCGTTACTCCCACCGACGCAGCCCCAAACAGTTTCTTTCGAAACTATCAGCCTTTATGCATTAAATAAACATGAAGTACTTGGATGGCCGCATCTGTTTTGCTCCGCATAATTTTCGGTTCTTGATTCACATAGAAATTTTAAGCAACGCAACATATGGGCCGTGTTCAATGAAAATATCAGCGATTCCTGTTGCTATCCTCTTGACGTTTCTTCAAAGTGCTTATTGAAAAACGTTGATACAAATGCAATTCCTGTTTAAAGTAAATCATGATAACAGACTTATAGCAAATGATGTTTCACAGACATCTGATAAACAACTGAACAGATGCTTCATTTAATTTTAATCATGAACTCTGCGGTCTATAGGCAGTGGTATTAGTAGGTGAAACCTTTACCCCGCTAATAAACATAATGATTTTATGATACGACGTATCCCTATTCAGTATCATTTATTTTAAACATTAAACATAGCATAAAGATCAAAGGTGTAGAACATTCTAGTCGCTTGACTCGACGATTCGCACACAAAAGCCTGATTATTCAGAATTCAAACACATAGTTAGGATGTCTTTTAAAGATATTGAATGAGGCATGGCTCGAAACTATATAGTTAAACATGGCAGTTGCTATAACTCCCTTTCTGCAACTCAAAAATATTTCTCGCTGAAAGGTTCTAAACCTAAAAAAATATGAACAATGGGTTGACGCGACCACATGTTCTTTCCGCTTTCTGTTTGCGGCATTTCTAGATTGTCGGCGTCCTCAAGCGCAACGGTCATCTTAAAACTTTTTTCGGTAAATCTTTGCTTCAAGATGCTTTGGCAAATCACAAAGAGAAGAAATACATTTTTACTTACCTTTGGAGATATCGGTAATAAGGATCACAATTAACAGGAACAAAAAAACCCACATAATCCTGCTACCCGACATCGTTGAGTTGCATTTTCTAGTTGATGATATAGAGTTATCACTCATGCGTATAACTAATGTGATCAGGGGCACCATAGTTACGGTAAATTGATTTCCGAGTAGTGACGCACATCTGCTTTCCAAGAAACGACGGTCGGACTCTTTTATATATTTTATCTGTACCACATGGTTACAACAGTTACGGTAAATTGGTCTTCGATTAACGGTGCGCTTCTGCTTTCCAAGAAAACAACCTGTGTCTTTCACTCTCATGCGCTTGATGATAAACAAACATCAATCGACAATTTTGGCCTCATATGCCGTATTTTTTATGAAAAAAACTTGTTATTTATCACAAATTATGGCGGAAAGGTATGGAAAAGCTCCAATGATACAACAGATATGCAGTACGAATTTTCGAGCGGAATTAAACTCGGTTATCCGTTTTCGTAGTGTTGATCGGTTCGAGTCAGATGGCGTGAGGTATCTCGTGGGGAGTATCAAGCGGTATCCAAATTCGACCTCCACATTTCAGCTAACTCGTGTGGCAATAAGCGGGGATGTGTCTCTGAGCCCCGGGCCCTCGGCAAAGCCCAAGTGTGGTGTGTGTTCAAGAACCCTGGCAAGAAATCGTCGGGCTGTACTCTGTGATTGTTGTAAGGGGCTAAGTCACATAAAGTGTGCGAATGTGACACCCAGCGAATACAAAAGAATTCAGGATTTACCAAACAAGACTTGGGTCTGCTCAGCGTGTATGACTATCTCCACGCATAACGATTTACCATTTCATGGAATTGGAAACACCACCCTTGAAGATTTATTCAGGAATGAACCAGCTGTCATGGATTATACAGACCAGATTGACTCTCAGGACCGTGATTTTGCAAGTTTTATGGATGTTCGAGTGAAGTACAGCTCTAATTTCTTGATAGCACATTTGAATATCTAAAGCTATCAGAAAAAATTTGAAGAGATGAGTGAAATTATACAAAAGCTAAGAATTCAAGTGATGTTCATTGATGAAACCAAAATTGACTCTTCCTATCCCGATGCACAATTTGCTATACCAGGGTACCAGCTTTACCGAAGTGACAGGAAGAAAGGAGGAGGTGGTCTCTTGGTTTATACGTCATGCAACGTGATCTGCAAACGGTTAAAAGTTCCTGGCAGCTACAAAACTATTGAATCATTGCTTTTTGACGTTGAGCTCAAAGGGAGACGTGTTATTATGGCTGGCTTGTATCGCGCTCCCAAACCTCTTGTCAGCAAGTATATATATAAACTGCAACTGGAGGAGGAGATTAATCACTTTTGTAACTGGGTCTCACTGCAGGGACATGCATTTGTGTTAGTGGGGGATTTAAGCCTTGATAGACTCCGCCCTGATAAGCCTGAAGGCTAGTTGTTGATTGATACAGAGGAGACCCATGGACTTGAGTGTGTAATTACGAGGCCAACTAGGATTCAAACTAGGGCTGGTAAGACTACCAAGACCTTCACTGACGTTACCTGGACCAATAAAGCTCATTTATTTGTCCAGAGTGGAATTTACGAACCTGGTGTTAGTGACCACCCACTAGTGTATGGCTTCATGCAAGACACAGCAGCTAAAGTCAAGCCTAGAATTATCAAATTCCGTTCAGTTAAGAACTTTTATGAGGAGAAATTTCAAAAACACCCTAATTCAGCACCTTGGCATGTTGGGGAAGTTTTCGATAGCGTAGAGGATCGGGTTGGTTTTGTAAGTACACTACTGACGGAGATTGTCAATGACCATATGCCATTCAAACAAATGCGTGTTAGAGATCAGGATGTACCATATATGAACTCAGAGTGGAAGGAGGCAGTACAGGCAAGACGCAGGGCTGCTAGGCGATACAGGAGGACAAATGCTCCAGAGGATTTGACCAATCTTAAAAAGTTTCGAAATGAGGCGACTAGACTGCGTAGGAAAGCAATAAAGAGCTATTGGAAAATAAAAGCAGAGGATTTTAAGAACAAACCACAAGACTTTTTTTAAAACTTTTATGCCCTTCTTGTCATCAAAGTCAAACTGCAGGCAAGTCTCAGACATTAAGCTTAATATTAATGGGCAAGCTAGTAGTAATAAGGTTGACATCTCCAAGGCTTTCGGGGAGTATTTTGCAACAACTGCTGATGGTATTGGCCAATTGGATATAAATAAGTGCTGTCTGGGTGATTTTGACAATCAGAGCAGTGTGATGGCCATAAGGGCGGCTAACCACGATAATGGTCAGTTCTTCTCTTTCCAAAGCGTTAAACCTTGTGAAGTAGAGGACAGGCTTAAAAAGCTGAAGCTAGGCAAGGCTATGGGAAGGGATCTAATCCCCCCGAGGGCACTTATATCTGGGGCTAGTGAATTGGCTGTACCACTTGCCAATCTGTTTAACATCTGCATTAAGCTGGGGTATTGGCCAACTGACTGGAAGAAGGGAGAATGGACCCCAGTTCACAAGAAAGATGATCAACTGCAAAAAGAAAACTATCATCCTGTGACTGTGCAAATTTTTATTAAGAAAATCTTTGAGCAACTCCTTTCTTCCCAAATCACTGAAAACTATAATAATCGCCTGTGTGACCATTTGACTGCATATAGAGAGAGGAACAGTTGCGAGACTGCCTTGTTGTACCTGACTGAGAACTAGAGGCACTCATTGGACAATGGGGAGTGTGTTGGTGTGTTGTCAACAGATATGAGTAAGGCGTTTGATTGTCTGTTCCCACCACTCATGTTGGCTAAACTAAGAGCATACAGCTTTGATGATGTCAGCCTCAAACTCATGGCATCATATTTTGAAAATCGCCAAGCAAGAGTGAAGCTAGGGAACACAACAAGCGGATGGAGGAAGGTGGTAAGAGGGTAAGTAAGTAAGTAAGGACTTTATCTATAGAGGGGGACACGTAACAGCTGTATAGCTGACAAACCTGTGGCCCTCTAACTAGATTATACAACATTACAAAAAACTGGTAAATAAATCAATATATAAATAATTACAAAATTCTATAATAGAAATAGCAGGATAGATTAAAAATATTGAGAAAGATAAAATCAATTTATAAAAAAATTAAAATTAGGCAATATACTATTGCTTAATATTGTTTCAAAGTTGTCTAGGTTTCATTATGAGCTTATAAGATGCTTTTTCACAGCTGTTTTGAATAGTTTTACACTAGGCTTATTTTTGATATCATGGGGAAGGCTGTTCCATAACCTAACTGCGTAAACACTAAATGCCTTGCCACCATCGTTATTTCTTAAGTATTTGGGACACACTAAATTTAAATTGCCATATCTAGTAGATCTATTGTGTACAGAACTGTTCGTCTTGTGCAAGTCTCTGATGTAAATCGGAACATCGCCTTTAAGGCTCTTAAAAATCATTGTACATTTATTTAATTTGATTTCATCAAAAAAGGGCAACCAGCATAGTTTACTAAAGTTTACAACACTTCTAGAATAAGAGTCCACTCCAAGAATTACTCGGGCAGCCCTTTTCTGTAACCTTAGGGGACAGTGGAGTTCTTTAGCGTCACAGATATTCCAAACCATGCTCCCGTACATAAGGACGGGAGCATGGTTTGGAAACATACTATAGGAGCAAACATACTATGCAAACATACTATACAAACATACTATAGGAGTCTTTCCTTTATTGGAAGATGTCTTCCTTTATTGGAAGGGTGCCCTCAAGGCTCTTCTCTTGGGCCTTTGATGTGGAATCTTTATCAGAATGATCTGACTTATGTAATGAAGCCGAATATCTCCATGTATGCGGAAGATCACCAGTTTTTGGAAGCAAGTAAAGATGTCCAGTTAATCCAAACAAGATTACAGGAGAGTGCAGTTGCAGCAACAAGTTGGTATAAAGAGAACTGTTTACAGGGAAACTTTACTAAATATGGTAGCATGCTCATTAGCAAGCAAAAAAGATGCCAATATCAATATTGACATGGAAGGTAAGAGAGTTTCCTACTAACAAAACATTAAATTATTAGGTGTAGGCATTGATTCTCAATTGAATTTTAATCTCCGTATAAGTGAGATTTAAAAAAAAGCTAGTCAGAGAGTGAGAGTAATGACAAGGTTGCGCAACTTGATACCAACCACTGCTAAGCTGCAGCTGTATAAGGCTGCAGTCTTGCCCTATTTGACTTACTGGAGTACTGTATGGCACTTTTGTAGGTGAAATTATGCAAGAAATGTGGAGCGTGTCCAGGGGAGGGGTCTTAGGGCAGTTTTCCACGACTGGAACGCTAACTATAGGCCGTTGTTAGAAAGGGCTAAATTGCCCACCCCAGTGAACCGTAGATTGCAAGATATAGCGACCATCATGTATAAAGTAAAATTTAAGCTAGCACCAAGCTATATACAAGATTTATTTTCAGCAAATCACACAGTGTATAACTTAAGAGTTAAAGAATTTACCATTCCAAGATTTAACTCTATTAATTATGGCAGGCATTCCATTAGGTATTTAGGACCTGTGCTATGGGCTAAGCTACCTTCCCGTATTAGGACGTTGAATTCACTAGCGGGTTGTAAGAGGGCTCTTAGAGGAATGGATTTGGAAATGTTAATGGACGATGAGGGCTGTGTGGGCTGCTTGGTAGGCTCAGACTATTCCTCCTCCTCCCCCCCCCCATCCGATTATCTGCTGACCACAAATTTTATGCTATTTATTCGTATATTTTATGCTATTTAGTCGTATATTAATACTTAGTTATTTATTATTTTATTTAAACTATCTTGTTGTGTCCTTACTTAGTGGTTTTATTACTGCTATTTTATAATTGACACATGAATAAAGTTCATCATCATCATAAATCGATCTGATCTTACACAAGTCAATGTGATACTTATCCATTGTTGCTTTGGTGACTTTTGCTAAATGGAATTTAAGGCCAGTCCAACCATAAAAGATCTTCTGTAATTTCTGTAAGTTGATAATGTAATTGGCCACCGTAAAGGTTTAAAAGCAGACGTTTCGAGCGATACTCCTTCGTTAGAGCGAGTTGAACGAGGGGCTAACGCACGAAACGTCACCTTTTAAACCTTTACGGTGGCCAATTCACATTATCAACTTAGTTGATAAAACCAAATTACTTTGTTACTCCTACCGACGCAGCACCACAGTTTCTTTAGAAACTCACGCCCTTTCTTCATAAAAGATCTTCTTTTGATTTGCATGTTGCCACCAACAGCTCAAGTCTAAAACCTTAAATTAGCAGTCAAAGGCACCTCTATGTAGAGAGGGGATTTAGAAAAGAAGCTTAAAAGTTCTCTGCCGTTTTTATTGCTGCGCTTGTTTTTTACTTTTAATGAAATGGCAAATTACTTTCGAGAGCTTGTTAGTTGACTTGTAGTTGAGAATTGTTTTCAGTGTACATGGTTCGATTAATCTGAATGGCGTAAAAATCAGTCGATTAGTTTAAGGGTTCTATTTAGAGGGGGGCTCGGCCTTTTTCACAAACTTTCATTTGTCGGTGAGGTTCATATCCTCTTACGTCAATTGCAAAGCATGTGAACTGAAGAAATAAATACGTCATTTTGGAATAAGCTATCCCAAATTTTTCACCCTACTGTTTCCCTCTTTTTCTACTAACATGGCGCGACCAGCCACGCTCTCCGAAAGAGCTCGCTGTTTTTTCTTACTTTTGTCGTTATGCTGAGGTCTTTCCACCCTCCCGACACTGAAATTACAAAGCCAAGTATCTACTGACATAATTGCCTCTTATGTTAGTAGTATTACATTCAAGGCAGATTACGAAGTGTTTGTTCCAAACTCGAAGAGTTACGACAAGACCAAGATGGCGAAGGTCCAGAGAATAATGCAAGTAAGAGTACTGCTCAAATACCTGAAGCTAATGCTGATGGCTGAACTTAACGTCTTTATTTCCCTACTTGCTTGTGGTGATATTTCCTCAAATCCAGGACCAACAATAATTAACCAGAGAGGACACGACGCTTTTGAGCTCCCCACCAGAGGTCTTCCCCTCCGTCAATGGAACGTGAACTATCTAACAACGACCAAGCTTGATGAGATAAAAATGCATGTCTTAAAAACGGACGGTAAGAAAAACCTTGACATTCTAATGATTACCGAGACTTTTTCTCAAACAAAAATCCCGAGGGATTAGATAATATTCCCGGATTAGATCTTCTGAGAAAAGACCGCCAAACAGGAAACGGCCGAGGCATCGTTGTCTACATCAACAACGAGCTTAAATTTTTACATCGTACTGACCTCGAAGAACTAGAGCTCGAAGTCCTTTGGTTCAAAGTCTGTCCCTTCAAATCTAAACGGTCGCTGCTTATGGCAGGAGTTTATCGTTCTCCAAGCCAAAAGGCCGAATACGAGCATAGACTGGCCGAAAATATCCAACGCGCTTATTCATTAAATGTGGAGACAATTCTACTGGGTGACATGAACTTGGATTATCTCCAGAAAGAATTTAATAGCCATCGATTGGTCAAAGAGCTTAGAGATTCTAATTTTAAACAACTTGTATCGTCCGCTACGCGTCCCATAAGTAAATCATGTCTTCATCATATCTAGAGTAAAAAATCGAACAGGATTGCAGACAACAAGTGTCCATATAGTTGCATTTCTGATCGCTTTCCGGTATTAGCTGTACGTTTATTCAAACGTTGGTCTACAGACAAAACAAAGAACCACAAATATATCACCTATCGGAACCTAAAATGCTTAAAGCAAGAAAAGTTTGTAAAGGCACTACGTGAGACCCCATGGACGCCATTTTTTTGTTTGATGACGTAGACGACATCGTAAATGGCTGGTATTGTTTTCTTAACGGAGCCATTGATGCAAATGCACCAATCAAGCGGAAACGCATCAGAAACAATACAAAACCCAGGTGGTTATCACCTTCGATCCTAAAGCTCATGAGAAAACGTGACCATCTGCTTAAAAAAGCAAAACGGTCCAACGCCCCCGATGACTGGTCAGCCCTGAAGAGCGCAGAAAATAAAGTCACCAAGGCGATTAAAACTGCCAAGAAAAATGTCTTTCACGAATCCTTCAGGGAAAACGAAAACAATCCAAAAAAGATCTGGTCCGCGCTCAAAGACCTTTCTGGTCAACAAAGTGCTAAAGGTGTGACCTATTTAGAAGAAAATCGGACCACGCAAATCGAGGATGGTGTCTTAATTGCTGAAGTGTTTGATAAACATTCCACGGGCTTAGCTAACAGTCTGATAGACAAAACGACTATTCAATTTAATCCAAAGACCCTGAATTCTCTTTTGTCAACAAACGCAACACCTTTGATGTCAAACATGCTTTTCCATCCGTATCACGCCAAACCAGACCAAAAACTTAATTGAGGCCATCCCGACAGGTAAAGCGACTGGTATGGACGGCGTGAGCGCCTGTATATTAAAGATAGCAGCCCCAGAAATAGCGCCATCACTCGCTAAACTCATAAATACTTGTATTACTCGTTGTACATTCCCAAAAGCATGGGAAGAAGCTAAAGTAACGCCCATACATAAGCAGAACAAAAAAAAAACTGAGAAAAACAACTCTACAGGCCGATCTCAGTCCTTCCTGTACTCTCAAAGATATTTGAGAGGCATTTACAAAACTCACTATCTGCTTTCCTTAGAGATAATAACTTACTTTAT